GGAGTCCATCTGTCCTATTCATATGTTATTTCTATTCCTATTCTCATATTATTTCAAAAAGGAGTAACGATTTTATCTAACAGGCAGGGGTTGAATAGGTGTAGTCAGGCGTTGGAAGTGCTGAGGTAAAATTGTTGTTAATGCAGATTATACTTCTTTTAACAACCAAAAGAGTGTTTTTGAGGCTTATTTTTATATATTCTTGGATCTTAAGAGTGAGAGGTGTTTGGTGATTTTAGTTACAGCTGCAGTGTTTCTTCATATAGTTTCCTATGACTCTTCAGGGTTTTTTTTTTGAGAGAGAGAGACTCTTTATTTACATACCTAAACTCTCCTGGCAAAGGATGAGATGGTTAGACAGTGTCACAGATGCAACGAACACAAAGTTGAGCAAACTTCAGAGGACGGCGGAAGACCGGAGGGCCTGGCGTGATCTGGTCCATGGGGTCGCGAAGAGTCGGACTCGACTGTGCGACTGAACAACAACAACAAACTCTCCTCATTTTTGGCAACCTTTTGGAAGCCGCAGTATATTTTGATTTCCTGAGGTGTCTAAATCAGATTCCCTTTGCAACGGACCAGGGGTCTCCTCAGAGCAAGCCCTCTGTGTAACTGGGCAGGAATTATTCTTCTTCTCCTCAGAAGATATAGCCCTTTTATTTTGGCCCCCCGAATGGGAGTTTCAGCATACTGCCCACTCGCCCTCACCAAATTCTCAATCCCGGTTCTGGTGTCTGTGTAAATCGGACTTCAGCTTAGGCTGACTTTTAGACATTCAGTCCTGATAACTGAATTCCTCCTCAGAATTGATAGAAAACAGTTGAGGCCAGGAGTCATTTCCCTTCACTCCATAGGGGAACAGGTCTGACTGTGTCAGACTCACTGACTTCAAACAACTCTGTCAGGCGCCAACTGACTGTCGGACTTCAGTAAAACCAACTGGCCAAAAGCCTCCAAAGAGCCCTCAGCTGATCTTATAGTTCTCCTCAGCTGGCCCTGGCCAATCAGAGGGAAGGGGGAGGAGGGAGCAGCCTGTTACTCAAGCTCTCCGTGCCAGTGAAGGGTTAACTCTTCGCCTCCCAGATTTCTGAAATTGCTGCACTAGGAAACCTGTTGTTATGTGCAGTCCATCCCATCCACCAAGGTCCCAAGGGATCCCAAGTCCCCCCGGGGGGGCGAGGAAACCGCCCCATCCACCAAGGTCCCTCCTCTCTCTCAACCCCACTCGCCCAGACCATACCCTCAGATCTCCAGGTATTTCTAAACCCAGGGTTGGCAACTAGAGTTCCCAGCTCCGGGTTGGGAAACACCTGGAGCTTTGGTGGGTGGAGCTTGAGGAAGGGCACGGTTTGGGGGAAGGGAAGGACTTCAGTAGGGTAGAACGCCAGAGTCCACCTTCCAAAGTGGCCATTTTCTCTAGGTGAACTGACCTCTGTGGCCAGGAGGTCAGTTGTAACCCCAGGCCTCCAGCCGCCACCTGGAAGCTGGCAACCCTAAACAGCATCTACTAGATAGATGGGTAGCTGTGTCTGTCTGTCTGTAGCAGCAGAAGAGAGCAAGAGTCCAGTAGCACCTTAAAGACTAACAAAATTTGTGGCGGGGGAGGAGCTTTCAAGAGTCACGGCTCACTTCTTCAGATACAGCTGGAATGTTGAGTCCATCTGTCTTTATACCTTGGAGAGTGGAGTGATTTCAGACGCCGAACGACAATAGCACTCCGCTCTCCAAGGTATAAAGACAGATGGACTCAACATTCCAGCTGTATCTGAAGAAGTGAGCCGTGACTCTTGAAAGCTCCTCCCCAGCCACAAATTTTGTTAGTCTTTAAGGTGCTACTGGACTCTAGCATCTACTAGGTCAGCATTAGCTACATACTTGTTCACTTTCTCAAGGTAGGGGCGCATGCATGGCAGGCGCTCTTTTAGCCCTGAGTACTAGCGGGAGCCGAGACACAATCAGGGTGTGCTAATTGCCGACAGCCTTACGGGCTATTTAGCCCTCTCACTCACGCCAACTAGTTGCGCTGGCAATTGGTCACTTTGGGACAAAGCTTTGCACCTCACCACTTGTGTTCCTGTTCCTCGTCTTGACTTCTTGGCTCCTGACCTCGGCTCGTATGACTACGCTCCTGACCTGTACCTCGGACCTCTGGACTTCTTTGGATTTCGGCTTGAATGACTACTCCAACGGTTGGTGATTTGGACTTGGTTTCTCGGTGTTTCTGCTTGCCCAGTTTTGACTTTGGACTGCCTTTGAACTATCTTGCTCTTGCCTGGCCTGGCACCACGTTCGTGACACGGGCAGGTAACTTTACTTTCAGACTTGCCTAAAGCGTTTACTTACAGGTTTCCTTAAAAGAAAAGCAGGAATAAATAAGTGCCATCAGATCACATCAGTGTGGGGCAGGAGTTAAGACAGGCTGTAGCCTGGGCTTTTAAGTCAGGGGGCATTTAAATTTCTTAGGGGACACTGGCTAATCAAATTAGAGGAATACCCGGCTCCTCCTGGCACCTGCCACCACTTGGGGGCCCTGAGCTGGATGGGAAGTCGGGGGGCCTTGCCAGAATAAGTCAGGGGGCCTAGCCCCAAGATGCCCCACTGTAGCTATGGGCCTGAGTTAAGAGTGTCCCACCTAGGATCCGGAGACCCAGGTTCAAGTCCCCACTAGGCCATGAAAGCTTGCTGGGTGACCTTGGGACAGTCACACTCACTCACCTTAATCGGTCGCACAGTGTTGCCAGGGCCAGACGCACCTGCTCTCCTTTGGCTTTGGGGTTGTCCCCTCCAGAGAGATTTCCTGATTTTTACTCAACGCTATCAATTCCGTCTCACCGCCGCGCCTTTATGCTGGCCCGCTTAAATGTATTTCCAACTATGGTAACTCTGTGAAGATTTGGAGGCCTACCTTACTCAGATCGCCTTTGTCTGTGCAATTCTGGAGAAATTGAAACCTTAGATGATCTGATGTTTCGCTGTCCCCATTAGACTCAAGTTAGAGGCACTTATATCTTTCCTATTCTCATGAAGATGAATCTTCTCTCGCAACCTTGGGTGCTTTCAGTACTGTTATCTGACTAAAATGCCGATGGACTGATAACAGCTAACGTGGCGCGGTTCCTGGCTAAGGTTGCTGCTCTCAAGAAACATTGAAAATTTTAGCACCTCTGCAAACTCCGACACCGACTTTTAATCTTCGGATGATTTGTCAGTTGGCTCCGCCCCAAGTGTAGTTAGGTAATTTTTAATCTCTGGGCTCAGCCTGGGTTTTATGTGATGGTGATTATGCACCTTGTCATATGTTATGTTTATTTTATGTACTTATTTTATCCCCCTCTTGCACCTTTTTTTGGTCAAGACTTCGGTCATATAGACCCGTAATAAACTGAAACTGAAAATCCACAATATAAAAAAATGATTTATTTTTGAGTGATGTAACAATTTGTAAGCACTATGTACTGTTGTGTTTATATTGTTGATATCTGTTTTTTTTTTGTAAAATTTGAAAAAATTCCAATAAAAAAAATAATACATTGAAATTGAAAATGGAGGGAAGGAGAGTGATGATGTAAACCGCTTGGGTCCTCGATGAGGAGAGAGGTGGGTTATAAATGAACAAATGAATAAACGGGTGTGCACGTGCACGAAGGCTGACTGCACCATTCCCAGCTCATCAAAAGTATCTGCCTACGGGAAAAGTTTGCGTGCACGCAGCTCCCTTGCTCCCTAAGCATTAATGTCCTCCAGAGTGTCCTCTCATTCATAGCCCTGCTCAGGTCTTGCAAACTGAGGGCCCACGTGGCTTCCTCAACTGAGTCCATCCATCTCATGTTGGGTTTTCCTCTCTTCCTGCTGCCTTCAACTTTTCCCAGCATTATTTGCCTTTCCCAGTGACTCTTCCCTGCTCATAATGTGACCAAAGTCTCATTAGCCTCAGAGAGCCAGTTCGGTATAGTGGTTATGAGCGCGGACTCTAATCTGGGAGAACCGGGTTTGATTCCCCACGCCTCCACACGCAGCTGCTGGTGTGACCCTGGGTCAGTAACAAGTCCTCAGAGCTGTTCTCTTACGAGCAGTTCTTGAAAGAGCTCTCTCAGCCCCACCGACCTCACAGGGAGGGGAAGGGAAAGGAGATTGTAAGACGCTCTGAGACTCCGAGTGAAGGGTGGGGTATAAATCCAATCGCTTCTTCTTCGTTAGTCATTTTAGTTTCTAGGGAGATTTCAGGCTTTATTTGATCTAGAACCCACTGATTTATGTTTTGGGCAGTCTGTGGTCTCCGTAAAACATACTTCCAACACCACATTTCAAAGGAATCGACTTTCTTCCTGTCAGCTTTCTTCGTTGTCCAACTTTCACACCCAGATATAGTAAGGGGGAATACGATGGCATGAATGATCTTAATCTTGGTCACCAGTGACCCTTCCTTACTCTTAAGAATCTTTTCTAGCTCCTTCATGGCTTCCCTGAAGCATGAAGAGAACTCTTCATTTCAACATCTTTCACAGTTACTAAGTAAAGGTAATGGTTCCCTTGCTCGAAAGCCAGTCGAGTCCGACTCTAGGGATGCGGTGCTCATCTCTGTTTCCAAGCCGAAGAGCCAGCGCTGTCCGAAGACGTTTCCGTGGTCATGTGGCCAGCATGACTGAACAACAAGGCGCACGGAACGCTGTTACCTTCCCACCGAAGCGGTACCTATTTATCTACTTGCAATTTCTTGCTTTCGAACTGCTAGGTTGGCTGGAGCTGGAACCAGAGACGGGAGCTCACTCCGTCATGCAGCAACTCGGGTCTTGAACTGCTGAACTACTGACCTTCCACAGCCTGCAGTTCAGCGTCTTAACCACTTGAGCCACCGCAGTTACTAAATATAACAATAAAAACACAAAACTATATTTGCATGTATCCCTTTTTGTACATCCATTTGCAGTAAATACATACATATATACACATACACACAATCCAGCTAAGTTTTCTTAGCTTTTCTTGGCTTCTGCCTCCATTTCTGCTCCTACTATTGCTTCTAAACATTATACTCTTTGACTGTTTATTCTTTCTGTTTTTCCCCCTGAGATGATTTTGCTTGTACAGTGAAGAAAACTGTAGTCTGGCAACAGAATTTTTTTAAAAAAACTAACTACACGCCTGCGATCTTTCTGAGTTCTTGTACATGAAAAGAAATATGGATAGGTTAACGTTACATTTTGTTAGAATGACAGTGACAAAATCCATTAAACACATTTGGGGCTTAACTACTGAATAATGCAGAAAAGCAAAGCATGTATAGAAAGTGGAAGATGTGATTTCAAACAAAATTGTCTGTTTATACTTCTTTACTCTGTGGGATATCTGTTAAATGATGAATGAATGGGCGTCCGTGAACACAGCTCTTCTGTTGGCTCCCAAGCTGCTTCCGCATTCTGTGAATTGTATCCTGTACATCTTCTTTCGATAAATATAAAGGGAGCTGCCGTGACAGTCGCACTGCTTCTCCCTATGAAAGAAACGTTAACAGTCAGACATGGCTACAGTCAGGGCTTTTTTTGTAGAAGAAGCCCAGCAGGAACTCATTAGCATATTAGGCCACACCCCTGACATCTCATCTCATTAGCATATTAGGCCACACCCCCATGTTACCAGAAGTGTGGTCATCCGGCCACCCCCACCTTTTGCTTCTTATTCTGTTTACCTTGTTTGTTGTCAAAACCCAGGGCTTTTTTGTAGCAGGGACTCCTTTGCATGTTAGACCCCACATCCCTTGTGTAGCCAATCCTAATGAGTTTCTGTTGGGTGTGGCCTATTATGCTAATGAGTTCCTGCTGGGCGTGGCCAACTCAGGAACCAGCCGGAACTCCGTTCCTGTGCGTTCCTGCTCAAAAATAGCCCTGGCTACAGTAAATAACAAGCGGAGTTCCCATTCGGGTTTTAAGTCATGAATTGTCCCTCCTAGTATCTGTATGGTGAACAGGGCTATTCTTGGGCAGGAACACAGAGGAACGGAGTTCCAGCTGGCTTCAGAGCTGGCCACGCCCACTACAGCCAAAACCTCTGCGTGCGTGGCTACAGAGGGAAGGCCTGGAGAGTGACCCCCCCTGGCGATTGTGAGGTGGGCGGGCCAGGGGGGCCCCTGGAAGGATCGGGGAGGCATTTAAATGCCTCCCCGATCCTTCCAGGGGCCCCCCTGGCCCGCCCACCTCACAATCTAAAATGGTGGCATTTTAGTCACAGGGATGCCGGCCTCCAGGGGGGACCTGGGGACCCCTGGAACTGCAGGTCATCTCCAGACTACGAAGGTCAGTTCCCCTGGAGAAAACGGATGCTTTAGACAGAGGGTGGGCTCTATGGCCTTGCACCCCACTGAGGTCTCTGTCCTCCCCAGGTTCCATCTCCAAATCTGCAGGGGGTTCCCGACCTGGATCTGGGAATCGTACCTCCCCCCCCCCATCTCCCACTGGTGGCCAGGGGGAACCTGGTAACCTAGTCAGAGAAGATAAACAACACACAAAGGCAATCTTGTTTTTTAAAAGAAAAGAACACAACTTGGAGATGCACGGGGTCCTTCTCCAGCCAGAAATTTTTAAAAAAGCAGTCGTGGGGACAGAAAGGTGGGGTATAAATTTTGGAAGCAAATAGAATAAAAGACATCAAATTAAAAAAACCCCACATTTCTGATTTGTTTTTCAGCTGAGAAATACTTTTTTAACTATAAGCTGACAGGTTTTTGTTTTTTTTTAAAGTCAATACAGGATGAAGTCTGTTTCAGAGTGCATTTACTGCCGTAATAATAAAAAACAGGATCTCAGATTAAAGCACAGAACACACTGAATTTAAGAAGAGACTGGATTTATACCCCACCCTTCACTTAAGAGTTACTTACCTCCAGATAGTTTACCACCTTGAGAGGTCTACATTCGTAAACTTCCTTGGCGTTTTTGTTTATCACCGCACTGAGAATTTCTTTCAGATCTGAAACGCCATAATAAGGCACGCAGCTGGTCATTCCTTCAATTTCCAACTGACTTTCCCCGGCTGAAGAACCTAGTTGGAAAACAAACAAAACGTGTTGATACTGAGCGTGTTATGCATGTTCTTTTTATTTACAGATACGTCCCAAAACAAGCACAATGACAATCATGGGTAAGATGCTAAAAACATAACCATTAACGTTCATAAGAACATAAGAGAAGCCAATGTTGGATCAGGCCAGTGGCCCATCTAGTCCAACACTCTGTCACACAGTGGCCAAAAATACCAGGCGCCATCAGGAGGTCCAGCAGTGGGGCCAGGACACTATAAGCCCTCCCACTGTTGCCCCCCCCAAGCACCAAGAATACAGAGCATCACTGCCCCAGACATAAGAACATAAGAGAAGCCAGTGTTGAATCAGGCCAATGGCCCATCT